TGAATCAGACGTTATATCATCAACTTGTGTGGGTGGCAATAGATCAAATTCCGATGGATAACGATTATTCAAACAAAGGCTATCATTTATTTCATAAATTATTATATTATGATAACTCTTATTACTCATTACTTTATAAAAGTATCTAAACAGATCCATACAGATACTTTCTTAAACAAAATTCAATGACTACTGAAATTTCGATATTGTTTGAATTTTACGACTTTACTCCGGACGTCTCCTTGTTGCAGAATGTCTAAGAATTCCAGTGTTTCAATTAATTTATATTTATTTGTAAGTATATTTTTATTTAATATCTAATAGGAGAAGATTTAGATAATAATTGTGTTGCAATAGATGATGAACGTCAGTTGTGTGTTTATTTGCTTGTTTTATTATAAATCACTAATCTTTAAAACTTTCCGTTGGATATCAAATGTCGAGCTATGTTATATAAGACTTAAAAATTCTATACATATTATAAAGATTTTGTCAAAAATAAAATTGAATAATTTTCAATAAATGATAAATTGATAATAATCAAACAATATATTTGTTAGTTATAAAGTTTTGACATACATGAGACAGCGAAAGAGAAAGTGTTAAATAAAGAAGTGTTGACAAAAACAAAAAGATACAGCAAAGAAGATAAAAAATTGAATGAATATTAAAAAGGCTTATTCATAGGAGACATAAATAAAAGTAGCAAAACTGTATGCGTTCGTTTGGTATATTTAATATAATTCAAATATTTCAAACACGTCTATTTTTCTTTTAATTTTTAATATTTTTTATTCCTTTATTTCAACGAGATTATTATTTGCACCAGCTATATCGATCCACTGTTTCAAGCTTAATCGGCTTATAAGACTACTGGCCATTAATCTGAACGTGGCTTGTAAAAAATTCAGTATCGACTGCACCTGTATTTATAGTTACGTAAGAACAAAAGTGTATTTTGGACGTGATTAAGGGAATGAATAGATTAAAATAACTGCAGTGATTTTTTGTTGGAATAAAAATATTATTATTAACTTAGATAGGATAAAATAAAAAATGTCGTTGCGCTTGCATCTAGCGATTTTGGTCTTTTTCTATATTATGTTGCTTTAAAGTTATGTTTATTTCCTTTGAAACTTTCGTCGTATATATTTTATCGAGACGACGTTACAAAACATCAGTAAAGTTAACCGTCGCTGTCATAAACTAAACTTTTCCCCTTTTCCACGTGACAATCCCATTTCAAACTTCAAAGTTACTCGGTCATTTTATTTAACGTCATATTTTTAAACGTCATTCATATCACCCGTTAACTTTTGTATATATTTTTTATTATAATGACGAACGTCCCTTTTATTCAGATTTTAATAAATTAATCTTTTATAAATTATCTATATCACTAACCTTTTTACACTTTCGTAAAAATAAGTACTTAGTTGATTAAATTTTGAAAATAAATAATTTAAATATAATATTTACTAGACATTGCAACATTATATTAAACAATATTACTATTCGTCGTTATAATATTTTTGCTTTAAACAAAGTTATTTTAAAATCCCCAATCTTTCATAATCACCCAAAAATTCACCCCATTCTAATAATTCCATATCTGCTTTGTGATGCCGCTTCCGCCGTGTACAATAGACGCATGCAAAGTTCGTGAAATGGCTAAATATTTCTAACACATATTCTTAACAATAATATTAAATACGAATCAACACCCACTTTAAATTACTGATCCCACAACCAAAATCAACACCATGATTAATGATGCGAACAATTAAAAAATATAAGTTCCGTCGACAAATAAGCACTTGGGCTCGTTAAAATTAGATCATAGACGCTCATATCTTTTGGTAGCAACATATAATTAATCAATTCAAAATGTGGAGCGTCGATCATATTTTACAAGGCCCCTAGTGAATTGGTCTTTGTGTGGGTCCAATATATGTATGTCGTCACATGCCATTCGACTTTAACATAAATATGTTAGCCGCCGTCACAACAAACATTATTCAAAATGTTTTCATTCAGTTTTTACAAGACTCTCACGTTTGATCGCCACGTGTTATCCGAAAAAGGATTGCTATTTACACGAAGTTACCGTTATTCTCATTACAATACAGCTTAGGAAATTGAGCAACACTGGCAAATGTTGCACATCCAAATATATTTTAAAGTTAGGTAAATCGTGTAAATAAATATATGCTACATGGAATACAATAAAGTGATATTAACCAACTCTGTACACAAGTCTGTGTTGATGCTGGACCTAGTCGTACGTGAAGAACAAATAAGAGGAGCGCATTCGCTAAAGTTATCTCTAAACCGCGTCTCGTAAGTAAAATGTCAACAATTTCATTATGATTCAAGAGTCCCCACGTCACTGACTATGTTATTGTAGTACCAAAGTTTGTTTTATTATTACTGTTGAATGTAGAAGGTGGTCCGTACTTTTTTGTTTTGATACATTTTAATTTTATTTTACTTAATCAGATATGAGATGTTAAAGATTAACTTACATCTCGTTTGCTCATGAGTCATGACCACGGTTGGTGTAAAGAAACAGTAACGTCGGAATTATGTAGTTAAAAAAGAAATTAAAAATCCTTAGTATCCGAAAACCTGAGTTTCATTTAAATAAGTACAGCGATAGTCTTAGATATTAAGTTTTAAAAAATTCATTGTCAAAAATATTTGTCTTTCATCGGCTTGATATAGTCGGAGTAGTTGTCAAAATATTTTACTGAAAACCTTCAACTAAAACATAAAACGAATAAAATACGATGTCACTCAGGCCGAGATTTATTATCGTAGAATTAAAAGGGTCCTTTGTTTATGAAATAGAGCGATACACTTTTCTGTTAGCGAGCGATCATTGAAGTGGTTATAAATTATGAACTTAACCTTGGCCACGTTTGTTTTAGTTAACCGTTTATAAGCACATGTGTTCGTGAGAACCTCTGAACTAAAGAAACCTCTGTCAAGAATACTTCTGTACTTTATTATATTTGAGTGGTTCAGTTATATTCAAATTATGTGGTTTTAAAACATTTCGATGATAAGTATCACGAATACTTCAAATCTGATTGATGATCTGATATTCAATATAGTAATTTTCGATCCGATTTCCGTATCCAATGAGTCTAATGAAGTTTCATTTGGACGCATTATCCGATGAATTAGAGAGATCAATGCGTTATTGGTGATTGGAATCTGAAATGTTCATAAATATATGCCAACATCAGCAATCCTAATCAATTTGTATTAGAACATTGAGCCATGTGATATTTGTAACACTGGTATGATAATGATTTTATAAACATTATATTTTCTTCCTCATATATAAAACGATTTTTTTTGCACTTATTATTTTTATTTATACTAAGTGTCCCGACTTTTTACTACAAATTCTTGTTCTAAAATTATACTCTCATAGAACAAAAAACATTAATAAAATTATTTTGTACCTATTTCATAAAAATAATGGACAGATTAATATTTTGTAAATCCAAAAGCATATTATAATCTTTTAGGTTTTTACTATTATTTGATATGTATCAAACAATACTGAAATAATTATTTGTGTATCTACCTGTATAGATACGAATTAAATTTAATTGAAAACAATGAGAGAAAAATAAATACAACTTTTTATAATTAGCCTAATACTTGTTATAGGTAATCCTGAAAAAATAGAATACAGTACTTTCACTTGTTTTAAATTTATTATTCGTATCAAAGTCCATATCAAATCAAACATTGTACATAACTATCGCTCACCGGCTAGTAACACACTCCTATTGGATACTGACGGAAGTACAGATCTAACGCAATAAGCAAGTAGTTTAATATACCCAGTCAAAAGTCAAATCAGGGTCACTCTGACAAAGTTCATACAAAAAGGGTTACTGATAAGGATACCCGCAGAACTCTCGTGATAAAAGCTTTTACCGAGAATCAAAAATAAATATATTCAATTATAGCAAATAACTATATAACATTAAAAGTCAGTGTTCTTTGAAAATATAAAACCAAACAACTGTCATTCTGTATAATATTAATTTGTTATAAAAAGGGATTAGGATATGTCAGTTTTCATCACTGTTTCATAAGGCAGAGCTGTCAATCAAAAATAGTTTCAAGCTTGCATATTATTAGACATAAATTTAAATTGCCCTTTAATGAATGGTTTAAACGATGACAAATCATTATTGGAAGCTATAAATATATTTGCACATTAATTGAATGTTCCGTGCAATGTGTAAATCATATCTGACGCGTCGTATTTGATAATGTGACGATGATCTATAGTTATAACATGGAGCTCTAAATCTGTGGAGATGTATTTGAGCATTTAGATTTCAATATACACCCATGTAATCATTATCTTAGGCTTATCAATTAAAAGCAGCTATTAAATAAAAGAACTACAAAATGAAAATGAAAAAGTTAATAATGCTTTACAACGTAAATTAAAAATAAATAACTTTAACATTTTAATGGAAACGCCACTATGGTTGAGTAGTATACATATGTTTATTATCTTTATACTAACAAAAACACAAAAGAATAAATATCAGTAAGTGAGTTGGTTTTGAAATAGATGTAAATAAATGAAAGTCCTCGTCATGTGAAATCGATTCGGGAAGCATTTCCACGACAGCTTTAAGAGCACCACATCACAGTCTGACAGATGTTTATAGTCTTTTTAATATAACAAATAAATATAATAAAGTTGTTTACATAAAACTCAAGTCCGGTTCGAGAGTGTGTTTGTTTAATTTGAATTTGAGTGCCAATTGAATTATATGTGTTGTGTAACGGGTTAAATTTGTGTCCCTTCCTTGTATTTATCAGTTGATACTTATTTAATTATTTTATTATCCTTAATATTATCTCTTGTTTCTAACTAATTAATTTTTTGTTACAGATGTTTAGAGAACATGAACAATAGTCTCGAGCGAAAGTTTAATATGTGGGAGTGAATCGCCAATATGGACACGTTGGTCTTACTGACCTCTCTCTTGGGACTCTTCTGTCTTGGTAAGTTTCTCGTCTAGTACTTTTACTTTATTTCTTAGCTGAATCTATATACACGAATAATTCGATGACAATAGTTTAAAAAAATGCAAATAATAATTGTTATCATATAATTTTGCATTTATGTTTATAAATATAATATAATATAATACAATGACATAGCTTTACCATAAATATGGTTTCTTAAATGTAATTGAAAGATTAGATAACAAATTAAAATACAAATAGGTTAATGTCAAAAAAAATACAAAAAATATTTTATTTAAATATAATACAAAAAAAGACCTATTATTAAAACAAACAAGGTGTAAAACTGACTTTTTCATTTAAGGAAAAGTAATCCACCCTGAAACAAGACAGTTACTTTGTCTGTACCAATGCTATTACGTTATTTTCTTTGGTAACAAGAAATGCTGCAACAGAGATAGAAAATTAACCTCTCATCAAAAACTCATTCCATATGTTGCACGTACGTATAAAGAATTCATGGTGAAGTCAAAGTTCAAGCAGCGCTAATAGTCCACCCTGCCATGGGGTCGCATTCCCCTGCATTCGATATTTAGTGCCACATCGTACCATCCAAGATTTGTGAAACCACTCAGCTTTACGAAAATATGAACCCAATTTGTCAATGGTAATTTAATAACTTGGAACTTTGTAATTTACAAGTACCTTATTAACTTTAAATAATTTGATTGATACAGCATAAGGTATGTCTTGTGGAAATAAAACAGGCAGAGTAATGAATATACAAATATGTATATAGTGTGGTCCGTAAAATACTTAATAACAAATCAATAAAAAAGGAGACTTCTTTATTGTAATATTTTTAAAGACTATCGTTTATGTAAATTTCGTGCATATAAAAACAAACACAAAATAAAGAGGGGTTATGGAAAGAGAACACATTCAGCAAATTAATTGTACCCCAGGGCCTAATTATATGGAAATGTAAATTACGAACAGTGATAATTATGCTAACAAAACACACATGAAAAGATTTAGTGACACATCTGTTCATTGCATGTATTTTATAATCAATCCAATCTGTCGTAGACTAAAAACTACCTCCGCACACTATTCCAGCTACCCCAGTTAGAAGCGTTACTAAATATGTACTATTTTAGACTGTGGTTCATGAATCTGTGTGTAAAAAAGACCCCGCCCCAGGCGGCTATCAAAGCGTAAAGAAGTTAAGCTAATGTTAAACGACGCCTATCTTTTGTATCTAATGCATGATGGATGCTGCGTGAAATAAAAAAAAATGAATCGAAGCTCAGATACTATACAATGGGTACGCAGTATAAGTCATTGTTAAATGAAATATTTAAAAAAAACTATCTTCAATCTAAAATTCGATGGGGACTTTTATGATTATTGACACATTTTGACCCCCAAAATAAAGTATACGAAGCTTGTATTGAAATGAAGCAGCATTTCTTGAATGGAGGCGGAAGTTGTAATAGAAGGGTATGGTTTAGTTATAAATTACGTGTTCTGGATTCCTTTTAAAAAATCGTAAATGCTAATACAGACGTTGCTAACAAGCAGAATGTTATCGCATCGGGTATCTATTAGAGTTGTTTTTGTCCTTCTTAAGCACTTTGCCGATCTGATAGCATCTGAGCTGCAAACTATACCTTTTTTATGATGATATTCATTTGGACAGTTCAGGAGCAGATAAACCATTTTGGATCGGCATTTTTTGCTGATAATACAAAACATTTTGTTTATATTCACTTCCTTCCAACAAAAGCAAAAAATTCTAAGTAAAAAATATTTATTTATAAATAATATAATTGATATATTTTAAGATATTATTTTTTTGAGAATGTTTTGTAAATTTGACTCGGACACAAATTCACATGTTACAAAACTTAGATATTTCTCCTGTTTAAAAATAACGTTGGCAAGAATAGTAATTTATACGGTATCAATATTGTGATATCCGTGTCTTTATTTTTTCAACTGTCCACGCGTGCTCTCAAAACAAGAGATGAAAAGAAACGTCACAACTGTCGCCATGTTTCCCTAAACTTTAACGGAGCCAACTGCCACTTTTACGTATATTTTATGTGATATTTTGAAAAAATATTATGAACTTTATCTTCATGTCATAGAGTTTAAAATATAAATAGAACCACAAAGAAATCGGTTACGTCCGAATGTTTGCCTCCATTTCACGCAGGTACGCAAAGCTCTGTGAAAGATGACACTGCGTCAACAATTTGTCCTTACATTAGTATGCCTTGCAAGACAAACATTACAACTCACGAAATTTATAAAAGGCTAATCCGTCCATCTGTTGAAACGGCTAATTTTTAACACATGTGCGACGAGAGACGCGCGTCGTTGGATGTTTTTATTTTTTGCATCGTAAAAGTTAAGTGCTATTTCATTAGCCGTGACATTCCCTGAACTTTGAGCTATTAGCGTCGTTAAAAGTTTTGTCTACAATAACAATAACTTCATTACAGTTTGAAAAACGGTAACAGTCTTAAATAGATACAATTACTTCAGCTATATTATGAATGTATTTATCTTACATAAATGTAATGGGACTGAATGATGCCAATTACAAAACGTTCACAATATAAAGTTGCGTAATAACGGCATAGCATCGAGTTGCAAAGGGGTCCTAGGAATGAACACGTGTTCAACATTCTAAAAATCATGATTGCCTCCTAAGGGAGCCAATCACAGTCATTAGAATTAGATATTGGAAGTTAAAATATCAAATTGCGAAGGGTGATACATATCAAGATTTGAAGTAAAACCTAGAAATATTACACAAGAAAAAAAGTTTTCATCAAATTAATTAAATTAATAAGAAACTTATTTCTTACTAGCTTTCCGCCCGCAGCTTCGCCGCGTGGAGTTCGGTTATATCGCGTTTCCAAGAGAATCTTTCAAAAGTCTGGGATAAAAACTATCCTATGTTCTTTCTCAAGGTCAACTCTATCTCTGTACCGAATTTCATTAAAATCAGTTCAGTGGTTTAGGCGTGAAAGCGTAGCAGACAGACAGACAGACAGACAGACAGACAGACAGACAGAGTTACTTTCGCATTTATAATATTAGTAGGGATATTGTAGACGCCATTTATTTTTAATGTTCTTTGATCCGAAAGCAGTAAGGCACTCTTTTGAACTGTTACCGTCGACAGGTTTGTGATATGCTGCAAATGATACCAGATTGATTGTGCTTAGAATCAAAGTAACGGCTGTTTTATACCACTGTTAACCCAATTTTCTTTAAATCGATAAAGTTTTAAGACTAAACATAGAAAAGCAATTCATTTGAAGTGGACAAAACACATATGGAAACGGTTCAAACGGAAGTTGAAAGCTCCGCCTGGCGACTTAAATTCAAAAGCCATGTTACTTTAACCGATTTTTTTATTATATATGTTTTAGACACGTGTCAACATGTGCCAGTATAAATTAGCTCGGGGATACACAGATCCCTCGCAAAACTTCTTCTAACAATGACTTCTGAACAATAGTTTATTACTAAAAACGTGTGAAATGAGTACACTCCCTCCCTTTATACTATTTTAGCAAAAAAATAACTTGGTTTAAACATTTTAGACCTTATGTCATATAAAAAATAAACAAGCATATTACACGTATAATAATTGTTATTTCTAGTTTACCAATCGAAAGAAAATACTATGTTTTGAAGATGAAAATAAATTTCTTCTAACTAGTAGGATCAATAGTTCAAACGCACATCTCAGTAATAAAGTAAGTTTTATGTGCGATAAAATAACGTATCGAGATCAACATAAACAATATTTTATGACTCCAGCATTCCGCTAAATCTTACGTATATTTTTATCGGTTTTGTGCTGACCAAATCATAGGATGTATCTAAATTAAGCTTTGAATCAGTTCCGGTTTCCCTCTAGGAAGATAGCAGTCCGAACGGTACTCAATTTTTTTATGTGGTTCAAATGAGATACATTATATACTTTATTATTATTTCAAATAATAAATCCATGAGATAAAATGACTAAGATTCAATTATAGATAAATCGTTTTGCACAATATTGGGATACGGGAATGAATAATAAACACAATTATTTTGTACAATAGCGGTAATCCCTATTTTGTTACAATACGAAAATCGAGTCGGCCACGATTACCGTCAGTTCATTCCAGACGAAATCGATATTTTTTTAAGCGATAGATTTTTGCGTGGCTATAATAATAGTTTGAGGCGCAACAATGGACATACATCAATTCGAGTGTCAAAAACTAACATCTGCGCATTCGTTGTAAACAGAGTAAAATACGAGGGTCCTGGCCCAGAATCCTGGGGGACTGAGTCTGTGTTTATAGCTCATTATTATTGTGTGCTGCTTTAAAGTAACTAAGAATGACACACTCAACCTATTTTTAAATATAATTTTAAGCATGTCACAATCTTTTGTTGATGAAAATAAAAACAGTGCCCAGGTCCCTATTAATTAATTTCAAAAGCCCCTCAGTTGTTTTTGTTAATAATTATAATTACCAATCTTTGTTACTGTTTTTAAATTTATAAAGCTATATTTGTAATAAATAACGTGTTATTAAAAAACAGGTCGTGTGGAAGGAGGTCTAAGCGATGATTACATGAGCAGTGGGGAAGCGCCTTATATAATAGAACAGCCATTAGATGTCACTGTGGCTCGCCATCAACCTGCAACATTAAACTGCCGAGCTGGAGGTTCGCCCAGTCCTACCATTCGGTGGTATAAAAGCGGTGCCCTTGTTGTATCGGATACCCACAGAAGCCTTTTACCTGCTGGCGGTTTATTCTTTCTGAGAGCAACCCATGGAAGGGCACATTCAGATGCGGGAGTATACTGGTGTGAAGCTACAAATCCGTATGGCACAGCGAGAAGTCGCAATGCTACACTACATGTCGCTGGTAAAATTATTTTATTAATAAAATTTATTACACAAATTTATGACTGCTATCTATTGTTGTGTATATTTAATGTTTATAATTATGTTGACAGTTCTTCGTGAAGAATTTAGACTGGAACCAGTAACTTCACAGACAGCTCAAGGAGAAACCGTTATACTAGAATGTTCACCACCGCGTGGCTCACCCGAGCCGACAGTCTACTGGAAGAAAGATGGACAAATTTTACATTTTGACGGAGATTCGAGGTAATTAACAGAACTCGTTATTCTACCTAAATTGATTAAATTTTCCAAATGTAATAATCCTTCGTACGTACGAATATGGGCACTTGATGACTGTTGCTAACAAACTTTTGGATTGCGGATATTTGGTGAAGTTGGCAGATATATTAAAATCTGGAGCTTTGGGATATCAAATGAAAGTTGCTCGCCAGTTCGATGGAGCGCACTTAACGTAAAATCGAGGGTAGTTGGTAAGAGCACTTCTAGTTAAATGGGATGAGCGAACTCGATAATCTTGTGGTCTGTTGAATAAAATAATAAAAATTAAATATTAATGTTTCAAGTTGCCAGTCGTAATATAACTTCTAAAAACATAATATTATTTAAAATACACCTATACGCCTTAATTATATCAATTCATATTTTATAAAATCTGATATAACTTTATTATAACTACTTTATGGTAATGCACCAAGCATTTAAATTCAATTTCCTAAAAAGTTTTATTGGCAATCCATTCCATTTGTTGTCTATGAATTTTTATGAGGCATGGCGTAAGGTTACATCTTGAGGGCACGGTGTATGTATGTTGAAGCATGAAAATAATTAACAGTAGGGAGAGTACATCAAAGTCACTAGGAAGGGGATATTTCAAGAGCTCGACAAGCAATCAAGTAAAAATCTGAATAGTTCTGACACACCGGACCCTTTATTAAATGTTAATTTCCTATTGAATTATTCCTCCCAATATTTGAATGTCTTTGTTACATTGAACTTTGTTCATAATGAAAATGAAATTCATAACTATGTTGCTGCATAGTAGTCGTTTTTAATGTTTGTCGTGTTATTGCTACAGAATGCATTTAGTAGACGGAGGTAGTCTTGTAATACAAGACGCTACGCAAACTGACGCTGGCAGATATCAGTGCATTGCAAGGAATGCAGCTGGTACAAGAGAATCTTCTGTCGCTACGCTCAGAATACACAGTGAGTTATATTTAATTAACACTAGTCATTTAAAGCTTAAAATTAATTATTTTTTGAGTACCCTGTTTTCTATTATAACTTGTAAACATAAAATGAAGTGTATTATTAAATAATTCATAATACTATATTTTAAACAAAATTAAGATTTTTTATAAGAAGTCTTTATCAAATTATTTATAATAATAATAATAAATTTATCGAAATATTTTGTCTGTAAAGAATAAACAATCAGATTTGGTAATATAAATTACTTTAAACACACTTTAGTTCTTAATAATAACGTTACATATTATGTAATAAATTATTACTCTATAAAAGGAAGTATGCCATCTAAGTTACTTAATTTCACATAAAAGCTTAAGCTAACGATAAACTTTAACAACTTTTCTATACTTTACTCAATTCTCTTAAGAATCTTTGGATGTTAAATATTATTTTGCTATCTAGTTAAGCCGTATCTAATCGCCGGGCCTGAAGACATCGTTGCACAAACTGGAGGCAGCGTGACCTTCAAATGCAGGGTTGGAGGCGATCCCTTACCTGATGTTTTGTGGCGAAGAACAGCCGGAGGTGGTAACATGCCACTCGGGCGTGTCAAAGTGCTAGACGATCGTAGCCTCAGGCTTGACAACGTGATTTTGACAGACGAAGGGGAGTACACATGTGAAGCTGACAATGCTGTAGGAGCTGTGAGTGCCACAGGATATTTAACTGTATATGGTAAGTTACTGTTTACTTAATTAACAGTTAGGTGCTAGAATTTGTGTAATTTATCAATTAATGAGTAAGTGTTAACTGTTTCAATATTTTTAGATCCCCCAAAAGTTACTTTAAAACCGAATTCAGTTATAGTAGAAAGTGGAACAAGTGTTACATTTACATGTACGTCGACTGGAAAACCCCAAGCTACCATGTTCTGGAGTCTAGAAGGCAACCGAACAATAATAATACCGGGAACTTCTAAAGGTAAATACTACGCTTCACCTGTATTGGATAATGTTACAAGATTAACAATCAATAATACTAGAAAAAATGAAAGCGGGAACACAGTAGTTTGTTCTGCTGTTAACTTTGCTGGAAGTTCGATTGTAAGAGGAAAAATAAGCGTGACATCAGAGGATGACCGGCCACCACCAATCATAACAAACGGTCCCTCTAACCAAACGTTACCTATAAAATCGATGGCAGTTTTCCCCTGTGCGGCCATCGGCACACCTGAACCAATTATTGCCTGGTATTTCGAAGGGGAAGCGTTAATACAAAATCATAGAAGAAATATATCAAGTGATGGAACATTGACATTAAGAGATTTGGATAAAGAAGATAGCGGTACTTACACGTGTGTTGCATCATCGCAACATGGAAAGTATGTATGGAGTGGGGTTTTATTAGTTGATAGTCCAACAAATCCAAACATCCACTTCTTCAGAGCAGCGGACACTTCAGCATTACCGGGTAGACCAACGAAACCAATAACCTACAATATAACAGATACGAGTGTGACTTTAACATGGAATCAAAATAATAAAATTGGATCGTCCTCTATCATCGGATATCAAATAGAAATGTTTTCGAGGGAGTCATTGTCAGGAAACAACACGCCCAGAAATTCTAGAGGATGGGTGGTTGTTTCAAAGAGAGTATATCAAACACATTATGTTGTAAAATCTTTGATACCCGGTATAACTTATATGTTTATAGTGAGAGCAGAAAATTCTCATGGATTATCAGCACCGAGTTTAATTTCGGATGCTATAACCGTAGGCGATGATACAAATGGTTTATGGGAAGGCGGATTATTTGCAAATAACACCGAATATAGAAAAAATATTATGACTGATAATATTGTAGATTTAATTGAGGCAACGCCTATCGATTCCAAGACCATAAAGCTTATGTGGGAGATATTAAACTTCTTTTATCTAGAGGGTTTATTCATATATTATAGACCCTTAGATAATAAAACAATCGAGTACGAAATGAAAACTATTTTGCATTCCAATGATGTATCTGGCTATGAAATAACGACCCTACGAAAATATATGAAATATGAGTTCTTCCTTGTACCCTTTTATAAGAAATTTGAAGGAAAGCCTTCGAATTCCAGAGTAGCTCAGACGTTAGATGACGGTGAGTTTTATTAAATACATTATATTTTTTAAATATCCCTTTATTTCACTTTACTTTTAAAAACGACATTTATTTAATAAAATAAATATGACTGACTTATTAATATTTTCTTCTAGTTCCCGATGGTCCACCAACAAATATCGAAATGTACATACTAAACGTCACAACAGTCCATTTGAAATGGCATCCCCCGGAGCCAGAGTTGCAGAATGGTGTAGTTATAGGATATAACGTCGTTCTAAATTGGTTGGATATACCGGCTAACAAGTCTATGATAGCTATTAATACCACCGTCTATCAAGCCACAAGTCTTATAATGACTAATCTGACATCTGGCGTCAGTTATTCTGTTCAAATTGCTGCAGAAACTATCGTTGGTTTGGGGCCATTTAGCCAGAAGGTCTATTTGAATATAGATTCGCGCTCCGTAGGATTAGATCCATTGTCAAGGTAATCTTAGAGAAAGCAATTATTAATAATATAATTCTGTGGTCTTTGAACCTAACATATAATTCAGTAGTTACATACTAACATTTTTTTCGTTACTAACTTTATCAAATATTTTCAGATATCCCAATAATGGAGAAGTATCCATTGTTGCCGGAGATTTTGTAATGGAAACATGGTTTTATTTCCTCATTGGGGCTATCGTGCTGTTTAAAGTTATTATGATTGCTGGCATTATTTATGTTCGGAGGCACAACATATTTGCTAAAAAGTCGGCACTCCCAAATATTTACAGTAAGTGTTATAAGCGAAATCAAAGAGCTACATCACATATTTTGTACTTAAACATATGTTTGTCCCGAAATACTTACGTTTACCCTAGATCAGCATTAGAATTTCAAAATTAAAAACATTCCACGGGTGACGTAGGGTGGTAAGGGTGCCGTCCGTTGTTTGACGGAGGCTTCACCATGAGAGGGGCGGGAGGGTGCTAGATTACTTTTAAGTTGAAAGGTAGCACGAGCCCTCTTCCGAGCGCAGTAGATCTCTTTCATTTTGCATTCATGTTCTCACACAAAGGAATGATCCGAATCAGAAAAAAATACAATAAATGTAAATGTACTTATGTTGTTCTTCTGGGCAATTTATTTGTTCACCCATTTACCTGTAAGCTTATTTTAAATAATTTCAGCTTGAATACTGTTTCATTCGTAAAGTTTTTAGTAAAATATTTTTTTAGTTACAATAAAAAGGGTTTATTTGGTTATTGTATAAAGTTGTATGATTTTAGATTCCAACGGCACCAGTTTAGTTACACAAATGAATATTAAAGCAGCTGTATCGCTATCTCATCCGTTGAGCAGTTGTTACAATAAGAACTCAGTAACAAAAACTGAATCACTACTGTGGATGGAAAACCAACCAGGCCTATGTATGTCCGGGAATCAAACGAGTCAGAGTAAAGAAAAAACCAATTCGGAATACGATAAAGTCAGTCATCAGCTTCCTGAATATGCAGAAGTCACTGCTTCGAGGGTGAACGGGAATGAATGGAATACGAGCAAAACTGCCACCTCGCCCGCCGCCTACGCCTCAGTGACACTAGTAGCAAACACGAGGCAGTGTGTTAGTTCGCTGGTAAGATTGAATTTTGTCTTTATATATCATACAATGTAACTTTACATATCATATAACCTACAATAAAAGTTTATATTTCTTTAACTAACATCACAATTGTAATACAATCGTAATTTCTTTACTTAAAAATTATGAGAAAAAACTAAAAATATTTAAAAAAAAATTGATGTTTTTACTACTAAACATTATAACAGCACACCATCGATACACCAATCTATATTTTTTATATAATTTCTGAAACATATTGTCAAAGAAAAAAAAACAATTAATCTACACTTTTTCATGCATCAGTGCATAATCAATATGCATATTTAAAAATCTATTTGAAAATATGACAAATATTAAAAAACATAAATTATTCATAGGGTTGGTTCCCTCCGGCAAGTAAAAGTATTGATAACTATGAAAACCGCTATCCTGATGAAGAATTATACCCAGCTAGCAACGGAGGATATTACAACAGAAATGTGTATAGCGAGAAATATTTTCAAGGGCATCCTAACGTCTTGAAATTTTACGACCTTCCATCGGTAGATAAAACCCAAAAAGCACAAATAAGATACAACCAAAGCTTAGAAGAGAGGAAAGTTGACAAAAACTTTAAGACTGAAGTAACACAATCTCTCATTGGAAGAAGTTACGGTGTGAGTTCTAGAAAAAATTCGGAATCGGAAACTACATACAGAGCTTTCGGCGAGGATGATTCTGATGATGAACATTACAGAGATGATGGTGGCTACGACGAACTTCAAGCGATGCAGCCTCAAAGACAGAGATCGAAACATCAGTACGAAAGACCAAATTTCGATAACGACCCGACCAGAACACTGGCGCGTCTTACATCTTTTAAACAAGGTCAGAACATTCACATCGGTAACTCAGGATCTCTTGCGCCAACCCAACCTCCACCAGCTCCGAATCCAAGGATTGATTCAGTGACACGGTAGTATCACGCCTTGCCGGTTTTCGGCGACTTGTGCCAAACGGACGTATAAACATGCCACAGTGCACAATAGTGATTTATAACGCTGTCTTTCCACAACTGTACGCATAGTGTAACACTTGCTGACACGTGTTGCGGCAGCTTCTTGGCTATAATTTTACTTCGAAAGACTGTCTCTTATTTAATTTGAGCCTATACTTTTGTATTGAATATTTTTTGTACTATAGAACTATCGCTTAAAATGATGATAATTTATTATGTTAAATAAATTTAGCTAGTCTTGTGTAATGTTGATACTTGTAAATAGTGTACAAACTGAAATATATTATTAATTCTTCTAAAATTAATAAAATGAATGCTGGGAGATATTTATCGTGTTATTGATTGGACTATTGGAAAGTATTTAATCCGTCTTTGTATCAATAACGAACTTCTGACCTATATCATTAGGATAAGTCTTTTAGATTAATTCAAGGGAAAACGCTTGGCAATAATTTGAGTAACACGTGTAGTGTAAATATAGATTATTACTTTATTCTTATTCGTTACTAGCTGAAGCAATTCATATCCTGAAATGTATGAAAATACAGACCCTGACAATATGTAAAGTGCTCGCACTATATTAATATGTACATTTAGTATAATCAAATACAAAAGTCTCTTATTTCTTTCCAAGCTATTTGTTACACTCTAGGTGATAAAATGTTCGTGTGCCATAACATGTTTCCTAAAATTAAAGTAACATTGGAGTTGTGAAAATAAAATTCAAATGAAGCTTTTGTGAAGAAAATTTTTAACTAAAGTTAATGTGATATGTATAGCCACTTGTTATTAAAGTTAGCACTATGTTAGCACATGTATCATTGCATATCATATAGGTACGTAAATCGCGATTTTACTGTAGGCCATGGGGTTAAGTAACCTTACTGATGTATTGGCCTCGTTTAGTTTGTAACTAATTACATTTCTATCATTTTGCTCGTAATAAAGTGGCCATTGAAATTTGTAAATATATAAATATAATGTTTCATCCATGTACTAATATTGGAATTTAACTTTCATTTATTACTTAATAAAAATTAGCCCACAATTAAGTAGTAGATAGCTGGGCTGGTTTAAAATTTTCTATTCAAATGTAATAGTAAAAGCAGTAACAGAAATGTTTTAATTAAAATTAGTATGAAACTTGTAAGAACTTATAATAGGTAGTTGTAGTTGTCCCTCAACAATCAAATAAAGTTTATAAATTTTGCAGTTTATATTTATTTCATATAGAAAGGAGTTTTCATAAAATATAGTAAAAATTTATGCATTTACCTTTCAAGTTGTGCAAAATGTGTAGTGATTGTCTCACTTAGGGTTATTCGAAATATAAATTATCTTATTGCTTCAATATTTATTTTCAAAAAAATATATTTAAAGATCTATTATAACAAATAACTATATATTAATAGAAGGCAGATATTTTTTGCAACACATTGTACATTAGTACATTGCAGAGGACCGACTGTTATGGCGCGTGTTGGGAGAGGCCTATGTCCAGCAGTGGACTGCTATAGGCTGAGTGATGATGATGTGATTGTACATTAAAGGAAACGAGAATTTCTTACAATCATACAAATAATGTATTTATACGTAACACTCACAAAACTGTTAAAGTAATTCACAAAACTTATTCATATTGATCATACTTATAAGATTTATTGTAGAAAAAAACTGTAAACACAAGAGATATTAGACTCTATATAAATGTAAAAAGGCCTATTTTTGTGTGTTAAGGTATTATGTTACAGCAAAAATAAACATCACAATAATCAAGACCCTATTTTCATTTTGTATCGGTCTTTGAATAAAATTTCTAATAAAATTTAAATTACTATGGACTTTTATTTTATTATATACCCTTGAATGTATAGTATATATTTATGACGCATAAATAGTCAATGATACGAATTATCAAAAAAAATAAGTAAGTCAACTACTGAAATAAGAATTTAATGTCTAATCACATATATATACAGGGTGACTGGTGAATTACTATCGATATTTGAGGACGTGATATTTGACGATCATATATGACAAAATAAAAATTAATATAACATAAATATTAAATATTAATAAACTTCTAAGTAAAGTTAACCAAAAGTTATGTAATTAATTACGCATCGTATGAACACCCTACAGATTAGGTATACACACACACATACACTCGCGGGCGGCGGCGTGTTGTAGTATCAGCACGACGCCGCACGCGTCCACACTTGGAAGACTTGGAACGTGTACACACTTCATTTATTTATACGGAAATTTGGTCAAAAATTAAGTACCTATTTTTTTTACATAATTCGAATGAGAATCATGTACCGAGTATTCTCCTTAAATATTGATAGTAATTCACCAGTCACCCTGTATATATATAAAATATATTAATTATCAAGTTTAACTTTTTTGTCCAATTCACGTATCTTATAATAAAGTACAGTAAATATATTTAAAAAAGCACCAACCAACTATATAAGGTAAATAATTGTGTCATTAAAACTGTTGATTTCTAAATTATGAAGGATGATATGATAATGTAAAGAAAATATATACAATTTAACACAACAAAGGCACTGTTATTCACTCTCATTTTATTTATAATTACATTTCAAAATAAACAATTCATATATATACATATATAAATGAAAATATGAAAACAACGTGGCGGTGGCTTGCTGAGCAAATACAGAGAAATTAAATTGAAACGAGTATAATATATACGATGTATTGTCATCGCATTTCAATTTGGAACAACGATTCATAAACCAAATCTCTGTCCGACACTCGTATTGGAGAATATTTAGCAGTCGATGTGGTCCAGTCAGCTCGGCTGTAAATGTTTGATAACATAGTTAAACGCATTAAGGCTCCCTACACAAGAAATCTATTGTTTGTAATTGTATGAGCTTTGGTTTTAACTGTCATCCTGATAGCTATAGATGCGTACATTAAATTAAAAGCGCCATTATCGTCATTATCTGTTATACTTTAACGGAATGAGAATAACTTAATACAAGTTTGTTGGCATTCAGTTATTCAAGTGTTTAATACGTTCATAGGTATACGACTTTTGATTCTTACATGACTGATCGTAAAATTCATTTTATGTGTCTAAAAATGTAACAGCTCACGACATCCTTTATTCACGTCAGTGTATCACTAAATGGATCGAATTTTCGCACACGATATTCTATGATAGGAAAAGCGTGTACATTGAAATTCCTGCGCTACGTTTGTTCAAACAAGGCTTTCGATCCAAAAAAAAAAGATAAAATCCAAACGCTTGCATAGTATCGATAAAGTTTTTAGAACGTAGCAAATATATACCTACAAACAGTGAAAGTTTCGAGTATCAGTTTTTCTATATTATTTCCGTTGTATACCGTGTGATCGGGCGTTGTAGCCTCGGGTACTGTTTTAATTTTCCGTCAACGTGGAAATTTACATCACGAACCATCCATTTTAATGAGCTTTAAAAGTTAACCGATCAACAATATGGCTGTTAGGATAGAAAATTGTATTATCCGTTACATAATTATGAAACAATGACTTTGATTTTTATAACCGATAGAGTAGATTTGTTTAATACAATAAAATATGTTCTGATAATTTAAAATGTTTTAATATCATAATTATTTAGAGTTATATTAATTCCCTTGCTTGGTGACCACAATTGAGAAATTAAACAGTAATTTCTTAGTTCACTTTTGTAACAGATTTGTTCATTATTACTCAGTTTGTGTTACTTTATATACGAGTGTAAGCCACAGGCAATTTGTATGATATTTTCATTTACAAATTGCCGAAAGCAGTTTGTAAAATATCATCATTTTATAAAATGTTTTATAATATTAGTAGCGCATTTTATATTTTGTATTTTTCTCGTTTTAAATTAGTCTAGGTTAGGTTCATGTTTATAAACTGACGAAGCCGTTTGTTTGGACATACATACAAATTGCCTGGGACACAAACATAGAGTTTTTAAATAAAAAGTGTAATAAAAGCGAAACATTTATATGAAAAAGTCTTTAGTTTACAGGGTCAAGGTAAACAACATAGTTTCAACGTTACACAAAACATGTCAGTGACTTGTTGTGACGGAATCAAATAGATTTATTTGCCGCGCCATTTTCATAACCAATTACACAGACAGGTATTTTGAAAGGCCGCACTCTAGCGAGTCGGTGACGGATGTAATTCAATTAAGAATTAATTGATTGATTAAGTTGCGTCCTCACCGAGGGGTGTTTTGTTCTATTACCCGAAATATGATTTTAGAGGTGTGGCGCTCTCGGGGTCAATTTCAGTAATCGGATACATTGGATGCGGTTTGATTGTAATTTGGTTTTTTAAACGTCGATTAAAAGGAGTGGATAGATTCATTAAAACATTTTGGTAATTCGTTACATCTAATCGATACAAATCAGTCAGTGGTGGCCTAGTGGTTAAGGGGTCCGCCTCTCGTTGCCGAGTGCGCGGGTTCAAACCTGGCAAATACCAATGTGATTTTTCGGAGTCATGTGTACTTTCTGAGAGTATTTAGACATCACTGACATACGGTGAAAGAAAACATCGTGAGGAAACCTGGACTTATAGTTTCACAATTATAAGTTTGAAATCACCAACCCGTATTGAGCAAGCGTGGTGATTAATGCTCAAAACCTTCTCCACGTGAGAAAGAGGCCTTTGCTCAGCAGTGGGCGTCTGATAGGCTGATGATGAATCGATACAAATCTTCTTCTTCTATATATATAAAAATGGATTGCTGTTCCTTAGTCTCGCTAAAACTCGAGAACGGCTGAACGGATTTATCTTATCTTAGTCTTGAAATGTTTGTGGAGGTTCAGGGAAGGTTTAAAAGGTGAGAAAAATTGATTCATTTCCGGGAAAACCCTAAAAACAGTCCTTTTCTATTTCCCACACAAATGTTTTCTTTGACATTAGATTTGACAACTAACTAAT